ATCAGACAGACCCACCCTGTGCAGTGAATGTAAAAAGATCAAACTGGTTGAAATGACTGGCTTATACATTAGGTGCTCTCTTTCTCAAGCATGGAAAAAAGGATATGGACTAAGATGGTTTAATTTGCAAAAGTTTCCCCTTAGACCTGCCAGTGCATTTTACTTTCAGCATCTTCTAAAGCTTCACGACAAGCTATATGTGTCCCAGCAACAACCAGGTATGTGCACAGGGATGACGACTGTCTCAGAAAACTGAAAAGTGCACAGTAAGGTAAAAACGTTGTACTCCGCAACTGTGTGAACGAGAGGGCTCACATATGTAGCAAACAGTGCAAACAGGGCTACTGGATAAACCATTGTCATTAGAATAGGGGCTTAATTCCTGTGACATACAGAGCAAAGGCAAATGGGAGTGAGTGAAGCCCAGCCTTTGCTCTCTTGCACAGGAGAAAGATAAACCCACTTTGATTTCCTTTCCCGTACAACGAATCACTTCTTTCCACACAACCACATCTTTCTGAAGATACCTTTTTTCTCATCTCTGCTAACCTTGACTGTTCACTTTTCAAAGCAGAGACGGTCTCCTAGTTTAGGGCCACGTACACCATTCTGGCTACAGCAGTACGGGAGGTGAACAGTGCCAATTCAAGCTGTTTGTCAGCTCTCCTCACTCCACTGCTAAAGGTTACTAGCCCCTCATGTTTCCCAGCAGAGCTGCTCTAGGAGCTTTGTCTATCCTGGCACCATCAGAATGATTTTGATTAGAAAGTCTATTGTTTTGAGAATTGAAGCTAACAGGTTATTATGAAGGAATTACGAAGGAGTTTGGCGAGACTGCATGTGCCAGCAGATACAAGGAAGATGCAGCCCCTGGAGATGATGGGAGGGGTGGTAAAAAGTCAGCTTATTGCAGATATGGCAGAAATGAGGAAAAGAAGAAGACAGCAACTCCCATAATCTCACAGAGGGAGTCTGCAGTTTAGCTAGGCATCTGATCCAGATTCCCTTGGTACCAAAGCTTCCCTTAAAACAGCATAACCATGCTTCTGGTTGACCTCAATCTGGGCCACAAGGCTCATCTGCAATCAAAATAAATAACTATTTAAAACAACAGCAGCCACAGCCTCCAGCAGCATCAAATGAAAGTGACTTTGTGAGGAGAGAATGCATCAGCAGTCAATTGAGATGACATGCCGCTTGCTCACTGCAGCAGTGAAATGATGGAGGTTTCAGGAACCGTCCTGCTGCCAGAGCCCATTCGTCTTAATCAACACCTCTGGGCACACCGCACTTCATCTGAACTGTGAGTGTCTTCCTCCCCTAAATGTCATTTCATTTTTGTACCTTTTCGAGAGTTGTCAGCCCACGGACACATGGTTTTTTGGTAAGAATGCTGGCTCAGCACGAACCGGAAAGCGATTACACGGAACTATGCTCAGAGCCCTGACGAACACAGATGTAACACAGCGTACCACATCGGATCCAAGCCATTTGTTTTATTACATTACTCCTTGCAGGTGCTTAGTCTTTCCTGCCCCATCCGTCCTCAGCCTTTCATTTCACAGCCTGAGCAGAACCCCTACACAAGTGATTGAAGGCCTCTGATCCCCCACATTGCTGTGACTCGTGTCAAATTATAGCTGGAGCGATTTGGTAATCCAAATCAATGCAATAATCTGATCTGTTGGGAGCAGCACTCTAACACTGCTGTGCTGAGTGGCCACAATGGTACAAGCACTGTTTGCTCTTCCCAACAGCTTTTTGACCTACTGAAGCCTGCACACGTATATTGAGCAACTGATGACACAGGGAAAATTCAGACACATTCAAGATGTTAAAAGGCACAAAATACGTCCTTTTAAGTCTCAAGAAAATGCTCCAATTAAATTCCATTTTTGAACAAGACTATATTTAGCCCAGCTATTATTACAGGTTACTGCTATGTAGTGTGGACTTCATGTATTTGAAGAACATTTTAATGAACAGAAAGAAAATATTTATGTTGGTGGATAATATACAGATTCTAAGAAAGGATGGGGGGAGTATCCAAAGGTTGAGAGGTCTGTCTTGGTTAAGTGCATAAAGGATGGACATTTACCCAGGCCTTCTGAGGCTGCAGGATTCAATCTGTGTAATGAAAGGCTCTCAGAACACCTGGTCTGTCTTGGTTCAGTTCAGTCAGGCTGAAAAGTACTGCATGGCCTTGCATGCAGAAAATCTGACACTTTTTTTAATATCCATTGAGATTTCTTACAACATCAACACTGGAAGACAGGCTAAAAGTTTTCTTTTAAATATGATATGAATAAACCATGTGATTCATTAATTATGACTCTTTAGAAAGTACACAGGTGCAGAAGGTCTGCTAACTTGGTTTTACAGCATACCTGAAAAATAACATAGAACAGAAAGAAAAACTGGCTTATTAACTCCCATCACCCAAGATCTTATGGTAGACCAAAGATTATTTCACAGTATTCTCATTTGAAGGGTCATTAACCCTTTATAAAGCAATGCCTGTATGTACTAGAAGTAGGTACAGTACTGAGCTCAAAAAAGCTCAGTGTTACATACCAGATGAAAGCTGGATACAGACTTCCTTTTAAACAAAAAAACAAGCTTGCCTCTAGTCTCTTATATTTAGAGACAGAGTTGAGAAACATAAGCTAAGAGTTAGGAAGAACTATTCTACCAAAATTGAAGATGGGACACCCAAGTGTGTATGTATGTGTTAAAAGGGAAAGGGGAGGGGGAGGGAGGGAAGAAAAAAAGTCCCTAAGAAGTGCTTGATACCAGAGCAAAAATTTGCTTCTAAAACATTGGCCATATCCTTTCTTTAGAAGAGAGAAGGAAAAGATTGAAAATTATCCATCTTTCTACCTCTGCTGCCCCTCTCCCATACCCCTCATTCTCCCAATCTCTATACTTTTCATCGGCCTATTTGCTGCGGTACAACAACTGCCAACACATTAATGTGATAAAGAAGTAGTTAATGGCCCAGTAATATTATTCTGATGTTTCCCTTTGGTCCAGGTTAGAGCACAGTGGCAGCTGACAATTCCTCCTCCTTGAAGTCCCCTACCTATTGCATCATACCTCCTGATTCAGGTTATTACTTCAAAATGTGTCTCAGCCAGCAAGCCTCAACGTCATGATCTCTCTACAACATCAGTTCTGGGTTGGACAACTTTCCTCCCTGTTCCAAGTTGAACCAATGCCAGCTGAAACCAACGCTGCTCAGCAAGAAGACATGCTTAAAGACCAACCAAGACCTTGTCACCGCTCTCCTATTGATGACACAGTTACCCAGCAAAACAGTGCAAAACCATGTGCTCCCAGTGACTCCTGCTCAGCTAAGGTTACCAAACAGCACCAATTAAAAAAAAAAAAAATAAAATTCTTTCACTTCCAGCTTCCTAGAAACTGTGTCTTTACCTCTGAGCCTATCCACAATAACCTATGCTGCTGTCATCTTCAGATTGGTTCAGTACACCTGACTTTATCTGCAGCTGAACACGAAAATTATTTGCAACTTAGAGAAGCCAGACACCCAGCCCTCTCTTTGGCTCACCTTCAACATTAGACCATATCATTCCGACAATGTCGGCCCTTCCCCAAAACCCAATCTACTGCTAATATCAGTTTGAGTCTTAGATCCACAATTTTAAAGCAAGAAAGAAATTTCATCTTAATTCCATCAGAGATCAGACTGCAATCTATAAACCAAGACACAATCCATGCTCCCCAGGAGCAATACCAATCAGAAAGATATGGGCTGAAAAGAAGGACACTTGAACACTCCTTATTGAAAAGAATAATAAACCTTTTGTAGGGGATCAGGGAAATCTACAGGCAGACCCACCTTTAGGAACAGCGGCAAAAACCTGTCTTCTTTCTGTAAGTGATAACTACAATCTGAATACCTCAATGCTGGTATTACCAAAAAAAAACCTCAACCAAAAGAACAAACTAAACCAACCAAACAAAGAAACAACCAAACCAACACGAAAAAACCCATCCCACCCCCAAACCTATCCAAACACCATTTTGACTTCTGACTCTACCAGAAGATGTGCCAGAATTGCCATGAATTTAAAAATGGACGCTGCTACTGATTTGATGTGGAGACTGCTCAAATGTCATCTGAGCTTTATTGCTGTTGATCTCCCCTTTTATATTTTTAATTCTTAAACAACATAATCAAACTGTTCACAAACAAAGAAAGGGAAATGGTAAAAGGCAGCAGCAAAAAGCATTTTGCTGCTTTAGTACTTCAGACTTTGCCAAGCATCTACATAGCTATGCCAGCTGAACTCTCCCAAAAAGCAATGATACCAGCTGACTTGAACCGTCCTGTGCTCATGCTGAAGCATATTATGGAAGTAGCATTTCCACTCAGTTCAATTACAAAAATCACCTCAGTAGAGAAGTTACAAAAGAAATACAAGCTGAGCCTGCACTCTCCCCCAGCTATTACCTGGAGTAAAGAGCTGATACATTGAAGATGGCGAGGCATGTTCACAAAGCATTTTGCCGAAGTTTGACAGTGTAACTCACGTTGACTTCAACGAATGCAGAGCAAAAACAATGGGAAAAATTTGGAATGTATTACAATATTTGAACGCTTAGCATCAAACACATTCTTATAATGAAACAGAATTAGGGATGCAATTCAAGAACATACCCAAACCAGACACAGGCCTAAATCAATCCCTATTCTGAATAAATTTAAAAGTTAAATTTATGCTTAAGTATTACTCAGAACAATGATATTCACTGGGTATCAGCAGCAACTCACAACATTATCTGACTGGAAAAAATGTTATTGTCAAAAGCTGGATTTTATTGCAGTGTATCAGAGAATCGTAATAGGTGGAAAGCTGTTGCTTTAAAACCTAATCTGTTAATGGCACAGAATTTTAATTATGTGATATTCTCTAGGGCTACACACACTTCTTACTGCCAGAAAATTATTATCATATACATATATATTATTTTACCTGGAATTTTATTTTTTGCCAAATGTGAGGCACAATAAACTGCTTCAAGAAGCGTTCATCTTCACTCCAGAACAGTCGGATGTCAGGGATATCATACAGGATCATGGCCAGCCTCTCCAACCCCAAGCCAAATGCCCAGCCAATTTTATCCTGCGCACCAGCTGCAATAAAGAAACAAACAAGATAAGAATTCAAGAGCTTAGGTTCAAAACATGAAAAATTGCTGATAAAATGTCCACCTATTTACCAAGGGGAAAAAAAAAAGGTGAAGTGGCAAGACAGAAAAGCATACAAGTAACTGCCAAACGCAAGATCTAAAGGCTACAGGACAGATCCCACTTCCATCAAAAACTGCAGCAAAACTGGGCATATCACTGAGTTCAGGAACCAAAAGTGGTAATAAAGCCACACCTTTGGCAATTTGTTTCCAGTGTTTCAGACAGACTTTGAGAAATGCTGCATAACGCTATACACTGCTTCCCTTTACTGTCCTTAGAGCCGAGCGCTTCACACCTGACTCAGTTGTGTTTGACAAGACATGTAAACATGAATTTCTGTGCAGAATGTTTCACATGGGCTGACAGACCAGGCCAAGCCTATGCAGCATTAACATCGTTACCAACATCTAAAAGGATCCAAATTGCCTCTTTCGAGGCATCTAGAAAAAAAAGAGCAATGGGATGAGAGGTGTTGCTGCGTTAGCATCACACCTCCAACCAAGGAACTCCCGGGCTGCTGTCCCTGGGACAAGCCACTGCTCCCACATGCACAAGTCTCTTTTATGCAGCACTAAATATAAAAAGACAAGAATATTTAATACAGAAGAGCGGGACAGATATTAATGATGCAACATTTCTGTCAGCAAAGTAAATATTCATACCTTCCTTCATTTACAGGGCAGGAGCATTGAGTTATTAAACAGGGACTTTTTCAACACCAGGAACCAACTGCATGTTTAGCCATTATCCTACTGATTTTGAAATAAGCTGGGAGCCCAGCAGCTCTTGCTAAGGCCCAGAGCTTTTTAAAACTTAAACAAATGCCTAAATAAACACTTACGCTGAAAGGATGCATGCACGTATGACAGACTTGACTCTTCACCATCAGAACTGGCAGTGTGCTCCTGAGTCACATAATGTCACTGTACATCTCACAGCTATCCAGCTAGACCAAGGCCATACCTGACTCCCCCAGTATTAATTTAAACTCTAATTTTTTGGGAAGCTTTGAACTTGGCAGCTTCCCCACCATCATGCAGGAGGCTGGAAGCGGAAGTAGTCTTTCTGACCTCAGCCTCTGCGATCAGAAAGGAGAGAGTTCCTGTTATTTGGGCGTCGATGACATCCTGAGGTATGCTGTCGTGTTCAATGCTGAGACAAAACAGTCCAGAGTCCTGTTTAAATTGAGGCTGGCATAACAAGCTTGAGAAAAGAGACACAGTCATCACTTTGATTCTTTTAATTAATTTGAACCTGCCTATTTACCTGGAATACCAAGTCCTCAGCAGAACCCCTTTGTGCCTCATCTGCAAGCTCAGCTGTATTGCAGTGGCAAAGGAATTTGGTCAACTTCATAACAGTACTACCCAAAGGAGTCTGCATATTCTGCCTTGTCCCTTCTTGTGTGCTCATGGACCAGATTTTGCACTTTCTAAACTTTGAAAGCAGACAGTCTATCAACTGAATTGTGGAAGTCCTAAATAGAGGACTGGGATTGGCAGAGCTGCTCAAACTAGTATGCTTAGACCAACCAACAGACTTCGAGCTAACCTGACCTTGGGAACCTACAATCCATGCTACCTTACATGAAAAACTGCCCAATTTGCTACTGCTGATTATTTTTAGAGAAAGGATAATGACTACATGGAATGTATTGAAATTTGTGTTTGGGAAAGATTTTGAGCTTTGATTTTAAGTGTCAACCATAAACTGTTTCTTTTCCAAGCTGAAAATACTATTTCTCTCCATGCTTCAGTATATAAAAGTAATTATATTTTTACGGCTATGAAGAAGGGAAAATAATTCATTGCAATGGTGTTGCTTCCCCAAACTTCCAGCTTGTCTTTCTTAGAACATCAACTCCTGCCTCAGTAGCGAAACTTCTATTCATTTCAAAAGTGCCAGACTTTCATACAGATATGGACATTTCTGCAGACTGATTAGGACAACCCATGCCCTCATCCAGAGGTAAGGTAGAGCACCTGGAGCAATATCCACAAGGGTTCTGAAGAGCCACTGCTTAATCTCAACAAAGGCATTAAACCCAAAACCTAAAGATGCTAAGTTAAGTGTCAATGTTGATTATTTCACTGATGCTCATTTAAGTATACATGATAGGAGGTGACGATCCTCCTTCCCCACATTACTGATGATTACTGGTAGATTGGACAGGAAAAAAAATATTAAACGACAGAACATGAGCAGAATGAGTATACATCCTGATAAGTAGAGCTTTATATTTAAGATTTGTGCTTTTTTAACTCTTTTTTTCCTCACACTTTATACCTAATTGATTTGCTATGCACTTTAATTCTGCAATGAATGTTTTGATTTTATATCAGCAATTTTTTGGGGGGTGTGGTTTTTTTGTTTGCTTTTTTGTTGTTGTTGTTTTAGGAGGACTGGAACACATCACAGGTTTTTGTACTCTGTAGCAGACAAAAAATTCTTAACCCAGCTATCTGCCTAGCGGCTCGGAACATTGTCATCTGAGCTATGAATAAACATCTAGCTGCAGATGATTCTTGTACAATTATCAGCCTTCAGACCACAAACTTCTCAAGTGTCCACAGTCAAAGCTATATCAGTGAAGAATTCCCTCTACTCAGAGAAGAACCTCAGCCCCCAACCCCCACCCCCCCAAAAAAAAAAAAGGAAAGAAAAGAAAAAAGAAAATGCAGATAATTAGAATTCCTCCTCAAATCAGCACTGGAAAATCTCCACTGCACTCCTTATCTTCAGTTATTTTATCTCTGATCTCTTCTCCAACTTCCTATTTGTAAAGCTCCAAGTCAATGTAGCACTGACTTAAAGCATCTGAAGAACTACCTTGGGGAACTCAACAAGACTAAAGCACACTTCTAAACATACTTCTGATTGGAAATGACCAGGTGGCTTAGAAGTTAAACGCGTAGATAACCACCCAGTTGTGTGAGAGATCAACCCAAAGCTTTTCACAGCACGTATATATGTTTATATACACTGAATTTTGGCAAGTAGTATGCAAAGTAGTCAAGTGAAGGTGAGTCAACATGACAGAAAGAATGAACACAGAATAGCTTTAAGCGTGGCAGAAAACAGGCTGAGGTTTGGACAGGAGACCTGGCCAAAGTGGCAGACTCCAGGGACCTGGTGGGGGAATCATAGCATCACTGCTTGAAATAATGCAGACCAATGGATAAAGCTTTCCTAACACATGGACTTTCCCCAACTGGGTCTCAAAGGTTTGTATGCTGCCAGGCTCCTGCTGCCTCACATGAAAAACTTGACTAACCCACCAGAAGTAAACCGCTGGAAGCTTTGCATGTCAGGTAACCAAAGATGGAAAAGGAAAGGATAAAATGGTTTGACTGGCTTCACACAGAGGGGGCTGAGACAGTCCAATCTGACTCCAGAAGTTTGCATCATCACAGCTGTGTCTTACAGGGGAGCTCCAGAGTCCTTGTGTTCCTTGAGAAGTCATATGTATCTGTCCTGCTCTTAAGCTTCCAGCCAAGATGAATCAGTTTACACATAAACGTAGACCAATCATGTTATTCTCCAAAAAATGTTGTTAAATGAAAGCTAAATTTGATCAGCCAGGATGGGAAGCTTCATAATTATTCATTGAGGCATATATAATGACCTACCAGAACTCACGGATTATATCCCACTGAATCCTCAGAAATACCCACAGACAGAAATAGTTACCTTCTCAAGGAGTGTGAGGCAAGACATTTTGCACTGTACAAGATTTTTAAGACATATTTTGCAACATAGTAGTCGGAACACATTAAATAAAACTTTTTGTTATACACTTCTGTCACACTTACTCTTATATCTATGCTGGCTTTTACTTAACAATTTTCGTTACTGCTGTAAAACTGCCAAAAAAGAAATCTTTCTTTCAATAGAGCCTAAATTGGGTCTTCAAATTGTTATACTCAGCAGTTATCGAGAAGTGAAAGAAATTAAATTTTGATCTTGGATTGAGGCAAAGTCAGGAGCATACAACAGTCTGCATACAAGGTGTTCTTCAAAAAATGCCCCAAAATGAATATACCTGAAGTGTGTGTAGCTGAAAGCTGGGATGAGTTCCAGAAGCAAAGACCTGAATTTGATCTCTTGCTTTCAGTCCAAGCCATAGCTGTTAATGAAGCAAATTCAAGAACTAGAATGGTGGGAAGAGAGGTGAACAGATTCTCAAGGATACACAGACTACACATCATGTTTTATAAAACAAACCATCACTTTAAACTGTGTAGAAAGTAAGTTACAGACACAATGAACATGTGACTTGACACAAAACATGAGAAATTCCTGAAACAAAGACCTATGCCCACATTTGAGCTCTATGTGTTTAATGGACAGCTTATGAACGTGGCTTTGAAAAACAGCTTCTTCAAAATAAATATTTACTTATCGTTAGGAATGCATGTTCTACATTAGGGCCATGGCAATGAGGTAAACCATGTTCACCCGTGTCAAAAATAAGCCATTTTAATTTTTTTCCTAATTCAGATTAAATTCCCATGTGTTGGGAGTGAAAGGTTTTACAGAAAAAAGCAACAACTAAGGTGTCAGTCTAATACAGAAGAGCTTCTGAAAGTGCAAGGTCAGGTGGCTGGCATGCTATGCAACTGAGGCCAAAAGGCTTACTGAAGTTTCCTTCTAAACTGCTCTCTTCAGCGAAAGCAAAAATCAAAACTGTCATATTATTCTCTAACTCCGTTAAATTGATGCATTCAGGCTCCCGTGTGCAATTCAGTTTAAATTACCTCCTAAAATAAGGACTTGGCTTTCAGACTATGCATGCTAAGTAAGCTACTCCTCAAGAACTCAAGAAAAGAAGTAAACATTCAATTATGCCTATTCTGTGGAAAAAGAACCTATCTTTCTAAGTCTCATATGTGGAATAATTTTCTAACAATAATAGTCACTTTGAGACCACAGCTTTGTCTCCT